CTTATATTAAACGGAACTCGCTTAAACGAAATTGGTGCTTAAATGGAACAACTGCTCTTAATATGTTCTGTTTCGTACTTGAATAATATACCACTATTTATCGCTCAGTGAGCAAAATTCCTCTTGAAGAAAACATTCTCTTGGTCCCTTCAGGTTTCGTTTAAAAAGAGTCTACTGTACCTATACCCTCTTCAGGTGCAAATTACACTGCACTGTTTACAAATACGTCAATTAAATATAAGTACTTTATTTTAAAGTCAGCCATGTTTCATTGTGGGATGAAAATATTCAAATCATAAGGTTCAATTGTGTACACAATTCAAATAAAAGTTTTAATAAATTACATTACTTCTATAATGGGCCTCGCCTGATGCCTTCTTTGTTCTGTCCTCAATTTTTTTTCCTCGATGGTACGCGTCTTTTTGTATTTCAGTAAGTATGCACCAACTAGCCCAACAAAAAGTTCTATTATGGGTGCACAAGTAATATTCGGTTGAATTCATTTCGAGAAAAAAAGTAATACAGTCAAACTACAATATATTGAATCTGCATATATAGGGGATAAAAGAGACGAGAGCAGAGCGCTGAACTGTTCCCTCTTCTCTTCTATTCCCTCCTGTTGTTCGCACTGTTAAGCACTTTGTTCGTCTACCATGCAGCATTAACCAGCCCAATAAAGCACTTTGTTAAAGCATATATTGAATTTTCGGCTATATCAAACATGTCAATTATGCCTTGATAATCCTTTGTAAAGGTACATAAATTTGCATGATTATATTAAATAGTATTTTTACCCGCCATCGTATATATAGAATGCCACACGAGCTGGATCGTGTGCTTCAGCACTCGCTGCACCCCACCACCTTCGCAGCACTGTGCCCCTGCTGAAACCCGAAATTCTTGAAAAAACGTGTGGGCGCCCCACCGCAGTGGTCTAGTGGCTAAGGTACTCGGCTGCTGACCCGCAGGTTGTGGGATCAAATCCCCGCTGCAATGGCTGCATATTTGATCGAGATGAAAATGCTGTAAGCCCGTTTCCTCAGATTTGGGTGCGCGCTGCTGGAACGAAGGAGCCAGCGGCCTCTTTTTTTTGTCATTTCTTTTATTAAGTTTTGATCAGTTAACCACTGCTTGCGCATGTTAAAGAATCCCAGATGGTTCAAATTTCCGGAGCCCTTTACTACGGTGTATCTGATAATCATATGGTGGTTTTGAGACATTAAACCCTATATATCAATCAATTAACCACTGCTCGCGTCTTTCGTGTGTGCCTGCTGCACTCGCAGATCGCCATCGCCGACTGATTGCGAACACCCGATGAATTTGGTAATTGACGGTTGTCCTGTCCATGCTGCGCTCTCGCCGACTGATTGCGAACACCTGATGAATTTGGTAATTGACTGTTGTCCTGTCCATGCTGCGCTCTCTTGGATGACCACTTGCCGGTTGGGGCTCCGTCTACGGACTACTCTCCTCATCTTTACTTTTCTCCCTTTGTCTTATTTCCTCCTTCCTTTGTGAACCACTGCTGAAGTGCAGACAAATTCACTTTTCTCTTCGTTTCCTCTTTCAAACCACTACTAGCCTCAAGTTATTAGGAGCGTTTTGCTGGTGGAGTCAAGTTCAGTGAATTGTCATATACTATCACATTCTTATTTTGCATGCGTACTGTGCATGGTCTGCAAAGGCGCTATGCACTGCTTGAATTTTCAGTTTCTCGTGTAGCACTGGGCAGCGCCAAGAGGCGCAAGAACCTTGACTTAGCAATGGAGTTGAAAGCCATTCAGTTAAAAGGTTGGCAAAAAAAGTTAGATGGGGGCGGACAACGTTGGGATACCACAGAGCACTTTTGAGTGCCTTGTTGAAGATATATACTAAGCAGGCGCATATGAGATCTAAAATGTATATTATAGGTTCTAATTTTAAGCCATCTATGTCCTTGCTTTTACTCAATTTGAAGTGCTGAAAAACGCTGATGACCTCTTGCACGTCTGTAGGATTTGCAAACACAGAATTATTTAAAGCAGGAGGCAAATAACCTGATGAATCACAATTATAACTACTGTCAACTAGTGAGGTAAAGTACTCGTTAAATTTGTTTACTAGTACTGCGCCCTTGTATATTTTATTTTCGATCACCAGCTCACTAATATCATTAGACACTTGTTTGGTAGATATAATAGCATTAAGTTTGTTCCATAATTGCTTAGAATCGGTGACACCGTCAAACATCTTGAAGTGATAATCGCGCTTAGCTTGTTTTTGTAGTTTAGTGAGTTTATTTGTGTATACTTTAAAAGCTTTAAATTTATCCGGGTCTCGCTTTATCAGAAACTCTTGATACTACCTATTTTTTTCTTTTATCATATTGAGTATTGCGGAAGAAACCCAAGGTTTGCGCGCCTGTTTTGGTCTCTTTAAAGCTTTGTAAGTAAAATGTTTTTTATACACTGAAATAGAGTACCAATAAAACAATCATAAGCAAGATCAGCAGAAGAACTAGATAGAACGTTGTTCCAATTAAGAGTTCTAACTTCCTCTCTAAAAGAAGATAGCGTTCGCGGACTAATTTGTTGAAAGTGAATGGCAGGAAGGATTTGACTCCTTACACTGGTGATGTTTTCTATGACTAGATATATGGGCAAATGATCACTTATTGGAGCACGCAGGACGCCTGCCTGTAACGTACTGTTTGTACTACTAGTGATAAACAAGTCTAATAGAGTAGAAGTGGTATCAGTAATACCTGTTGGAATGGTAATTACGTTTGTTAAGAAAAAAGAAGCAAAAAGGTCTGAAAGTCTCATCTGTTTATGTGTGTCGCTCAACATATCTATGTTAAGATCACCTCCCAGCACTACTTTGTAATTAAATTGGTTTACAACGAAAAATAGGTTTTCTAAATATTGAATAAATGAATCAAAACTGCCATTTGGTGGCCTGTAAAGTGCAACAAAAATGTAGTTGTGATACTGTAAAGTTAACACCTCAAGGTCATCGGTGCACAGAGACAGATCTTCACAATACTCGTACGTTATTTCAGCTTTGACATACAAGCATACACCACCACCAATTCTCAATTTTCAATTTTGGTACACAACATTATATCTGTCAATACAAAACACGTCTGTTTCACTACGGTACCAAGCTTCAGTCATCATAATAACGGAAAAGAAAAAATTTAACTCATCAAGAAACAATAGAAAGTTTTCTTCTTTCGAACGAGCTAACTGCATATTAATGTGAAGGAATGTCATGGGCTGTCTATGACGGCCACTTACATACGAGCTAATTCAAAAACGCTGGAATACATTGCCATTGTTCGCAGCAGAAATATGTCTACTATTAAGCTAGACTACTTTAACCAGATCCGCCTCAGAAGTTACATTTAAAACAGGTGTCCTGTCTGCTGTCCGCATGAAGATCCTGCCCTGTGATACCCATACATATTTCCATTCTCTTTCACGCCTTGCTTGCCACGCCTTACTGAGCAGAACCTTCATTTCCATGCACAGGTGTTCATTTATATATACAGGGTTACTGTTGTCAAAACCAAGACGAGTGCTATCTAGTTTAATCTTTTTTGCTGCGGACAACATCTTGTCTCGCGCCGTTCTGCTGAGGAACCTGACCACCACATTTGATTTCTTTTCATCTTTCGATAATACACGGTGTGCGACGTCAATGTCGTTATCTGTGACATCAGTTCCTCAGTTCCTAAGCACTTGGCGATGTTTGCGACAGTTTTCTCCATAGTTTTCTTTTTCGATTAGCGGAAGACCTTGGATTTCAATATTCACATTTTGGCTGTATTGCTTCAGCTCTACAATTTCCTGTCTAGCTTCTTTCAGGTCCCTTCGCAGTTCTGCGTCTTCCTTACGACACTGCGCACTCTCAGCCTTTACCACGTCAATCTCCTTGCGAAAAGCCTCCACTTCAGTCCTAAAGAGCTCAAAGCTCTCATTCATGAAAGCAATAGCATCTCGAACACTTCCAAGTTCAGTGACTATTTTAGTGTTCGAGGAAGCGACCTTAGCTATTTCACATTTTACTTCAGTCGAGAACATGTCAAGTCTTCCCACCAGATCACCTAGAAATTTCACGACCTCTTTAATGCTATTAGGCTGCCTCTCAGCAAGGGTCGCCGCAATATTGCCCATGTCGCCCGAATTTTTATCCCCCATGGTTTCAAGCACTTCAAGTAATAAATTGCACGAAAATGCTCTTGTGCACACAAAGCAAGAGGCAAAGTTTGAAGATTAAAAAGAAAAACACTGTTGTGACTACAATGCCCTATAAAACTTCAGCAGCAGCAGCAGCGACGAAACTAGGTACATATAATGTTCAATATGAAAGTTAACCAACCTGCAAAGAGTGCAGACAGTAGGTTAGCGTGCGTCCTTTCGCCGTTGCCGCTGCTGCCTGAGTGAAGCCAGTTGCAAAGAGACAACGCCCCCAGCACAAACTTGATAACAGCTTGAAACTGCAGCAGGCTGAGTTAAATGGCGGTTTCGGTAGCGCTGTCCAGGTCCTGGTAATGGTAAAGCCACAGCAACACAATTGTATAAACGGTGTGGCACTCAGGTCTGGTGGCAGAAGACAACTCCGGATGGGATGGCTTACACTTTTCTTGACGATATGCCGGTATCTGCAAAGAGTGCAGACAGTTGGTTAGCGTGCGTCTTTTCGTCGTCGCCGCTGCTGCCTGAAAGTGATTTTACCCTACTTCTAGTTTATTTACAATTTTCAGTTTTTTGACATAAAAGTAGAGAAGCTAAACTTGTGAAAGCAAATAAAAAGAAATGTCCAATTTTGGAAAAAACTTTCGTTTTTCGACTTGCATTTTCCCTTGATAGGAAGAGATGGTGCTTTGCCCCCCCCCCCCCCCCTGAATGGCAAACCTGCGCATGCCTTTGTACACAAATGTAGCCACCACAGCTGACAAGGACGAACATGCTAGAATTTCTCCGTGTGACCTTGGTAGCCTCTCTGCGTTTCAGGAGGTTCGCACTGTGGTGGCAGACTTGGCCGAGCGGCTGTTCGAGACTGGTGAGCAGCTCCTGGCCGGTGACTCCCGCTTCTGCACCACCCCGTTGCAGCTGCACTGCCTTACGGAAAGGCTCAAGTTGGCTGAACCCACTTGCAGTGAGTGGCACGCTTTCGTTACACTTTGTGTGAAGTGCTCAACATCACCACCTCACATCGAAAGGCTGTGCGTCACCAGTGAAAGAACTTGCAGGAAACCATGAGGGTATACTGTATAACCTCGTTACAATGGATCTGCTTACAGCAGGCATTCGAATACTACATACTACTGGCATTGTTATGCTGACCACACCATTTGCTCCGCTGATCGAGCTTCGTATGCAGTCAAGCCCACGTATAACGGCCCCACCTAAAACGAACTATCGCTTAAAACGGAATATATCTGCATGACCGTGAAAATATGCATTGGTTCAATGGCACAAAATTGCACTTACAACAAACGTTTCCGAGCGCCGCTGATCGGTTACAGCGAACGGAGTCGGCGGTCCGCCGACTTCCCGGAAAACCAATTTCGACCACCGATCAGGCATCGGGGAGGTGCCCATACATTCTTATCGTTAAACGCCGACCCTGCCTCCGCGACTCTCTAGTTGCGGCTCTCCCCGACCCATGGAGGAAAGAAAGCTGTTTCTTACCTCCATGCCCCGACTGCTTTTTGTTATGCACCCCTCCGTCCTTTGTCCCTCTGCTACTCTGAGCACCCCCCCCCCATCGCCAGACGAGGCCCGTGTTTTCACACTGCCACCGATATTTCGAAGACCGGTTGGCCATCTACCCAGTTTTCGATTGCTGGTATTGTCGTTGACGACGCCGTCCTGGAGTGACCAGACCATTTGCCAACATCGTCGGCCACCGACTGTATTCGATAGTGTGGGTCTAGTGCACGCACGTACGTTACCTCACCGACTCAGATAATTTGCTATTTGTTTTGTGTTTAGGACTTGTTCTCGCTCACTTCGCACTGTGCTAGGCATGCCTTCCGCGCACGTGCGGAAGCGCAAAAACGACTGTTAATTTGCGCGGAACGAATTGCAAAATATCGAAGTTCGTGAGGCCATGCAAACTCGCCTGCGCAACAAAAGGTTGGACTACGGCCGCAGATTCCTCGAACACGACAGCGCGCTCCGATCTAGGCGGCTGTGCTTTGACTTCTGCGCGCACAAGCACTCTCAAGCTTTTCTACGTGCGAGTTTCACGGACCTTTCAAGCAAGCTACCCAACCGGCCTCCTTTCTGTGTGGTTTGGTTTTCAAGGTCACCCTCCCGCCGCATCCTCCCCCCTCTTTATCGCAACTCCTTGCCCTTCTCTCGCAAATATGCTCTCCTCTCTTAATCACAACTCCTTCACCCGTCCCCACCGCTCCGCGATGCCAGCCACGCTGGCTTGAATTAGTTTTGTTTCTGACTGGAAACGGGCTCAAAGCTGTTCCACACGTTCTGGCATGTGTGTCGCCTGTGCACGTCTTGCTTGCTCTTGGTGTGTGTGTAGGTCACAAAGTGCTCGACACGTTTTCCCATTCACACTAATTTCTTGGTGATACGGCTTTAACAACCTCATGTTCTTTTCCGATTCTCGGATTGTTGCGAAAGCAAACTTTTGCTTACAGTTTATCGCGATGTGCCTTTCCTTTTTGCAGTTGTAGCATATTAGCGGCCTCCGTGATTCAAACGCCCATGTGGTATCAGTGCCTTGTTTAGGAACCTCACTCGATTTCTCCGCTTCCGCTTGCACTTCCCTGACAGTGTCCTTCGTAAGAGGCGGGCCCTTCCTGAAATTACGGTGCAGAGCGGGTTTCCATTGATCAGGTTTCTTTGAAAAGCCCTCTTTCCTTTCATCCTTTTCAACGCGCACTGCCCTGCTGTGCAACTTTCAATGAGTATAATACTCCTCAGCTAACTCTCCTGCCTTGTTCAGGTGTACTTCACCAAGTTTGTCCTGCAGCCAAAGCTTGACATCCTCCTCGATGCAGCGGTAGAATTGCTCCAATGCAATGCATTCTACAACTTTATTGCGATCGTCATAAACACCTTCGCCCTTAAGCCATTCAATTAAATCGGCTTTAAGACGAAACGCGAAGTCAACGTGTGACTCATTCCCCTTTTTAGCATACCGGAACCTTTGCCTGAAAATTTCGGGTGACAACTTATAACGTCTCAAGAGCACTTCCTTAACCTTGTCATAGCTCTCGAACACTTCTCTCGACAAGCACGTTATCACGTCGGACGTTTGACCGGGAAGAAGAGCTAACAGGTTCTGTGCCCAAAGGGACCGCTCCATAGCATTTCGCTCACACACGTGTTCAAACTTGACGAGATACTTCGCCATGTCCTCGCTAACTACGAATGGTGGCAGTTGGTCCCGAATTCTATAACCGCTCACCTGAACTGTCGAAGGAGCTATGCTAGGCGCCTGCCGAACACTTTAAGATTGCCAATTCTATTCGTTTTAACTCGCGGCGCTCCTGTGTCTCGACCTCCTCACGCTCGCGACGTTCGCGTTTTTCAGCTTCTTCACGTTCGCGAACTTCTACTTCTCGCCTTTCAGCCTCCTCGCGGTGTGCTTTCATATCCGCCCAGGTCTCATGGACTTCCTCAGCCAACGCTCCTTCATTCTTCATGATCTCAAGGATCGCTTGCTTTCGTTTCGCACGACCCAAAGTAAGGCCAAGTTCCTCACAAATTTTGATGAGTTCCTTCACTTTAATGTTCTCCATCGTTCACACTAGCCTCTTGCTGTTTGCCCCTGATAAGAATCTACGTGCTGTATCCACTATAAGTTTACTAGCAAGATGCGCAAGCAATTTCTAACACTGCCGTGTTTACACCCTCCGCATTAACTTTGGTTTCAAAGCGCTCTGACTTGGCTTGAAACGATCAAAGCTCACTCGCCAATGCTTCATACAGACCTTCTCTAAGCTACTATAAACTGTGCTACAGTAGTTGGTGAACTGAGGGGAAAACATCAGGCACTCACCGCATCGATGTCGCTGACACCGGCGGATCCCACCGCTGCCATCACTGTTACGAAGGCGCGACGCCAACACGGTCCCAATGGTGCCACTGCTCCGAAATCCACCAAGGTCAGCAGCCGTTTGGTAGCGTGCGTTACTCAGCTCGCGACTGCTTCTGCGCGGAGCTGATAGACGAGGTGAGTTTAGGCAAGGTTTATGTACATCATAGAAACAGAGGCGTTACATATTTCGCACTGGGGCCGACAGCTTAGGGACTTGAAGAGCCGAAATGTCTTCTCTGGCACGCATACGTCGGCTGCTCTCGCACGCATAGGTCAACTGCTGGCGACGCGTCGCTTGGCTTTCTTTATAGGCACCGGGTGGATCTTTGCGTCACCAACGTCCAACCAGAAGTGCTGCTGGCCGTGACGTCGGAATCCTCCAACGGGGACCCACAGCTGCGCGTGGTTGCACCCAAGGACGAGGGATGTTGCCACGCATTGCGTAAGACTCGCCAGACTGGAAGGCGCCGATTCCTTCATTGGGCTCGTGGGCTGAGGGAGCTCGCTGTGCGTTGTGTGACAGACCGGCGCTGCCGCTTGATGACGTCGTTGTGTTGATCGCGTCAGGGGGGCTGGATCACAGTCACACAGATTGCCCTTGCCACAGATTGCCCTTGCAGATTGACACAGATTGCCCTTGCAGAGGCATTGATGTTTGGTGTGGACTCCCAGGCATAACAGCGCGCTGTTTTCACAGACGAAGCCTGTGCAAAGACCGAAGTGACCTTCGTGGTTCCGGCAACTAACGCAATCGTTTCAGTGAAAGTCGAAGGCACACGATTCTCCCTACCAAAATAAATGCGCGTGCACAAGCATCTAACCATCCCTCCTCCCCCCATCCACGGGGCAAAGTACGCGTCAGAGAAAAGCCATACATATACGGCGAATGATGGCAGCGGTGGGAAAAAAAAAAAACAGCCTGGACTGCCTATATAATTTCTATCACAATAAGTAGTGGCCAGACGCGTTTTTGCATACCTGTCAAAAGAATCTAGTAGCGAGCAAAGCTTTGACTCGCACCTTTGCGGCAGCCAGCTGCACTGTCCCATTTGTTCACGTGTGTTTCAGGAAGACAAACGTGAGTTGTTTTGACGGAAATACATTCTGCTAGTTGTGTTGACATTTTGAGACTCACCTTAGTGGGAAACCTTACTTAAGCCACTATAAGACCGCAACGCCGATGTTGGTGCTTGGGATTTAGGCCCCCCCGCCACCCCCTTTTGTTTTTTGCTGTATTGTTTTTGTTTGTCCTTATTTGGTTTTTTTTTGCCGAAAAAAAAAAGGCAAATAATTCAGTGCACCCCCCCCCCCCCCCTCCGCCTGTTACGGAAATCTCCCGGATTCAGAATTCTTCAACTTGGCAGGTATGCTACTGCGTATAGAGGACTCCGTTGAGCAGACAATGGCTGCCTACCGGGCTGCCAGCATCATAGAGCACCACCAAATGAACGCTTGAGCGCAGCGGCATCGTGCGGGAGCCCAGAAGCCTGCGTGCTACGAACTCGTCTATTGAAAGAAAGTTTTTTCCTCCTCCTCCTACAGGCTGTTATCGCGAAAAATTAACAAACTACTGTGTAATGTGAACAAGTTTACTCGTGTCTCATGAAAAACCGAGCAATGGTTTACTACATGGCACGAGTCATAAACAGCTCCTTGGTTTCGTATTTTTTTGTTCATTTGAATAGAGACATTCTGTATAACATTTATCATTTTTATACGGTTTCTAGGTCATACTTCTTCGAAATATATATTCTGAATTATCATTATTGTCAATATATTTTGATATATAGTGTCTTTATTGCACTGTTTACCAGCTGGCAACCAAAAATTGTACTTGTTCAAATCTTTCTTCATTTAAAATATTTTTGTCGCTGTAGAACATATTGTCAAGACGTCAAAACGGATGTCTTGCCGCAGAGATCGACACACCAAAAGCAGGTCGGTCCTTTTAATAGAACGCGCAAGAGAGTTCTTCTTTTTCGTCCATTTCATAGTTCTTCATGGCACATGCACAACAGCTATCGTCTTTCTTGAGCAAGCACGTGACATTTTCCTCTCTCCGAAAGAAGCATCGTCCCGATGCGCAA